AAATGTGGAAAAGCTGACAAATTTCCTTTTGGTAAACAAGAGTATAAAAGCCTTTAATTGGAGAGGGCGGAAAAATCGATAAAATCATGACTATAAATAATTAGAAACTGAACCAAATTAGTAGGTATGTTTTCTACTAATTTAAAATTGTCCGCTATAAGTTCGTCGCTCCGTTATCAAGGGGGCTTGTTTAACATTGAATTAACTCTGATGGAAGGGTACTTCAGTAATTTATAAATTAACCAAGTTGTAAATAACCCAAGCCACTTCTGAATCGTTTTCGAGTTGAAAAATTTTAGAAGGAAAAGCAAGTTTATTTAAAGGAGAATTATTGCGATTTTTCTAAAGAACTACTAATAAGTAAAATAGTGGTTTTGCTCTTGCTTTTGTCAAAATTTCAATTAACAACACCACGTCTTTAACGACAGTCTGGTTGGACACGGACCTCCACTCTTTCCTATCCTGAGCTAATCTTCTTCCTAATGGGGATAATGTAATATAATAAATAATAAAATTTTTCTAAAAGATTTTGGTTACCAAAAGTCCATTTTTTGACTTCCTGGATCAGTATATATTGGTCCAAAGTTCGGCCAGTAATAATCCAAAGTGACACATTAGTCCAATCTTGGATTAATTTTGTTTATTATGTTTTTCCATAATATTAACTACCCAATCTTGAGTTAATAATATTCACCAAGCCTTGGTTCAGCACTGACTGTCTAGTCATGGACTAAGCTTCCCAGCCATGCTTGAATCTATATTGGTTGCCCATCTCGGACCAGAATTGAACAATCTTGGGCCAAGTTAAGTCCTGTCGTTATTTCCTATCTGGGTTTGACAATTTAAAGTGACATTTGACAATATGAATATGAAAAGCAATTTTTTATTTTTTTTTGCATTTCCGAACACAAGTACCTAATGCTATTAGTGGAATTTGTCCGATCGGTATTTAGATACTATATTTTTTTATAATAACAAGTTCCTATGTTTTCTGACTTGGTTCATACAGTTTTGGACCTGCACGATAAGATCGGATTTAACTATAATACAATTGTTTTTAATGGAAGTTGTACGTCTCTATTCCATTGGTTATTCCTGATATAAATCCCTCAAAAGAATAAACGTAAGCATCTTTTGCAAAGTGTTTCCTTCTCGGAAATAAAATTGCTTATAGAAAACGAGAACAACAAAGATTCCTCTTAGATGGCATTTCGTTAAGAAGTATTTATGTATCTATTCGTATAACTCCGGTGAATGTAGGTACTAGTGGGATATTGCATTGCAGAAAGAAGTACAACGAAACCCCCATAGAGAATATCCATGTACATTACATGCTTGCATTCTGTATGCTTGGAATAAGTTCTGTAAGCCACGTGCATAGACGATGTCATAATGCCCAGAATATCAAATCGGGAATGAAACTTGGAACGACATGATTTATGCTTATTTTATGTTTACTTGGTCCGGATTTGGAAGAAAACACGAGTTCAACTGTTTGTAATTCTACGAAAACAGTTGCTTGTTTGTTTAAAATATGCACACTCAAGAGGATATTTATGGCTTCTTTAAAGACTTTATTACTAATAAATCCTCGTTTACTAACTCACATCATATTTTTTTTGTACTCACTCATTAGGTGCCGATCTTCACCTAACGTTAATATCCAGCGTTTTATCCTATTTTCATATCAAAATCGTCCGTAAAATTGTAGCCGCTAAAAGGACCGCCAGGAAATTAATAAACTCTAATTCTACCCGAGATCTCCGCTTCAACTGATATGAAAATAATTAGGATGGGAATTGAGGTAGCTCACAATCAGTTGCAGATGTTAGAACCAAGATTTACATTCTCAATTCATCCCGAAAAGACCAAAAAATTTTCCCGACCACTACTTAACATCTACATAAATATACTGCACGGCGGATTTAAAAGAACAATATTGTTTTACGGAACATTCTTTGAAGGTGGCGCGACATTTTTGAGAAAAATGTGGTAGATTTTCCGGTTTGACTTAGGCTAGGAAAAACCGCAATTCACCTGCTAATGTCGCTCCGGGGAAAGTACAACACAATACAAACACGAGCTGTAAAAGTTGAGTTGCACTTACCATAAGATTGGAAGTAAAAAGCATGGCCTTCTGTGAGCCTGTACTGTACATGAACATACCTATAAGCAGCGAATTGTAATCAGTTGTTGTGTACGACTGCGATAGTCTTACGTGCCAACTGGGTGCATATTTATTCAGTTGAACTCTAAACGTTTAACGAGACGGGAACTCTAATAGACAATAACTGAAGTTAAAGTTACGAGAATGCCACATGAGCTTTTGTCTGTCCTAGCCACGGATATACACAATACACGCGTACACTTACACACGAACAACCGTCGTGACGACGAGTCACATCGAAAGGGTCTTTTCAAGTACCGAATCCGGGAGATAAAATTCTATACAAAAGACAACACCCCGCTTCTACAAGGCAAAACTCAAATGGAAATAATAGACTTATTTTTATCAACGGAATTTTTAGAAAACATTCCCTCTTACAGCAGTATTTGAACTGGACAAAATATGTACGTGCACGGTTTAGACCATGTTACATATTCTTACAGAATCTGGATTAAATATGCACTAGTGGAAAGTTAAGAACCGGACAGAGGGATATTCTATTACATGCAATCATCAAAGAGCAGCAACATCTTTTGAAAAATACGACGTGGATACAAATACCTTGAGTCATCTTTTCAAATCTAAATATGCAAAAGAAGGAAAAACCGACTGACTGATACATCAATGCACAGCACAAATCCCTGAGTCTAGAGACTAGGAATATTTTGCACATATGTTCCTTATACAACGTAGGCGAGCACTGAGAAAAGATTTTTTTTTAAATTGAAACCCTTAAAGGGATGGATAGGGAGTTACGTTAGGTCAAAGTCAAAGACATCACAGTTTGATGTAACAATCAAAGCATAGCCCAAATCGCTATGAGAAACCTTTTCCAAATCCAAATTTTGCACAAAAGTTCTTTATGATCCAATGTTATGAGTTTTTAAAATATCACTAAGTCCAACACATGAAATTAAAAGCTTTTAAGCATCTAACGCTTTTTCCATCCTGAATGATCTGACTTCAAAAATAGCGAATACGAGCGACTTCTTATAGTTTTTCGTCTTCTTTTTTGTAAAGAAATAATAATTTACCATCAAATAATAGTTTGAAAAAATATATAAATCTCCTTTAGACTAAAGAACTTACAACAAAATCGGATGTTAAATTGGTTATTAACTATGGCGTCACAAATGGGCGCATATACAAACATGTAAAAAAGTAATTCAATTCCAAAATGAGAAAAAATGTAAAGCGAAAGTACATCGATGTATTTAGATAGAGTTACTGAATAGAATACGATTAAAGAAATGTACAATATGAATTGAATGAATATGAAAGTATTTTACACAAACAGACGCCTAAACTAGTCCACCCTGTACACAGTGAACCAAAATATCTTGGGAGATATTCACACTCAAGTTTATCCTCGATCCGCAAATGTTATTTTTAGATCTTCCAGGATGTGAAATGATTTAGGGCCCAAGAAATGACCTGCTATTTTTCGTCAGAATAGGGAAGGGAAACTGATTATGGCATGCCACGAAAATAATTTCACAATATCATAATAAATAAAGCTGAACGATAAAACTTTCCTAGAGACTCACATAAATGTAGCCACAAAACGGATTGCTACGAGGCTATTTACATAATATAGCCATCGCCGAAAGAAATTCTCGCCTCCGCTTTCCCGGCTAATATTATGGAAAACATTAATCCACTATCCTATCGTAACCCTTGCTAGAATTTTCTCAGGATTTTAAAGACCCTTATTTAAAAGAAGTAATGATGATAACAATATCGGCATACGTGAAAAGGTGCATTAATAGCTGATAGGATGTTGTCATCGTGATTTATCCTTAATAGGGCATGAAACTTTTAATTACAATACTTTGTTGCTAATGGTGTTGGAAATTATAATTGCAACACGGTTACAACGAGCCATTTTCCACTGAAAGTAAATTAGATATTCAAACTGTAAAGTGCCGTAGAAACTCGTACAGAACCGTTTTATGCAGCCTAGCATCATCATCAGCTGCACCCCTACAAATTTATTTTAACAATCACTACGTTAAACGTCGAACCTGCAGCAAATTAATTGTTCGAATTAAGTTAGTAATTTTTATCATGCATCCTCGTATTATGTCGTAAATATAGCGAGAGATTTCGCAGAAAATTACCAGTACGTGCATTTTCCATTTTTTTTCTTACAAAAATATTTTTTTGGAATATTAAATAGGTGGCAAAAACCCCGCAGTAACTTTATCAAAAAATGGATTTCAACGGAATCAATATAGTTATAGTTATAATCCTCATCATCCCTGTCTAAAGTCCCCGAATGAATCATAATAAACAGAAAAGAATACCAGAAATTTCCACGTTCACGTATTACTATAGATACCTATTAAATACTAAGAAATGTGTGAAAACAAAACTCCATAGTCCTATATTCCCGCAACTACTGAACCTTAAAATTCAACAATTTGTCATATTTCCATCACATTCTTCAATTATTTTGCAGTAATATAATAACGAAAGTCTTAATTCTTACAGATTTCTAATAATCATAATTTGATCTTTCTGTAGATGCAATACAAAATATCATTGAATGATCGAAGAAACTAGACATTTTTCAAATTTTTATACGTAATAATAAGATACACGAATCAAACTTGTTCGTACATAACTTTTTTACAATGAAAATTCTTTTGCTGCGCGATATGAAAACTTTTTGCTTTTCGTAAAAAAAGTGACGTGTAGACTTTATCTATCTAACTTTCTGATTGCGCCATCATTTTTCAAATAAAATTTGAACGTCATCTGCCAAACATAATGGTGTAAACTTAACTTCTATGCGACCTGGAATGACGGAGTGTTATTTCTTTTAGCTTTTTCCCTGTGCACTACGTCATTTTCCCTAAAGGAGTCCTAAATGTACACAATTCTGACGTTGACTGAATACAAAAACAACAATACAAGGATATGTAAGTAGGACTACAAAACAAAAGCTGTTAAGATCTCTAACCGCTTGCAATAAGTTCGAAATTTTATGATAACATCGCTAGGAAGTTTGTACCACTCACTCATAAATCTTCCTAGAGACCGTTCTAAAGTGGTGCGTCAATAGTTCTTTCCGCGTTTTTAATAATGAAATTTTGGGGTAACTTCATGCAGCATCCTTTTTTCGTAGAAAAAAAGTTCTGATACTTAAGAAAGATAAGAAATAAAAAAGTTGTAGAGTTCCTAATGGCTTTTGCAGAGTCATGCAAAAACAAATTCGGGCAAAACTTTGAAATTTTGAAACAAAGCTCTTAAAGAACTCTATCGAAAAGTCCGATTGCATTTTCGCATAATCTCGACTATTAGAAATTAATTTAATAACCCATTCCCCCGCAACTCCTTTTTATCTGGAACACCAGGGTGCTAGCCATTTTTCTACTGAAATTGGAATATTATGCGAGTTACTACAACAACTACATCAAAAACTGTATAACTCTTTATTTCTCATCTTTCTTAAGTAGCAAAGCTCTTTTTCTATGATAAAAGGATGCGGCATGGAGCCACGAAATATCTTTTTTTTTAATTTTATAATTAACAATGCGGAACTAACGATACGTCCCTTCAAGAACTATAGAACTATTGCTACATGGAGTACAGAAACAGTACAGAAAATTGACAATTTATGAATTAGGGGTGCCAATTTCTAGGGATTGTAATGGTACATATATATATATATATATGATTAGTCAAGCGTGGTACAAAGATGGAACCGTTGATGATTGTGGATCACCTGTGAAACATAAAAACTATTCTGATAGATTATCCGTAAGTAATCTTTATTCTTCTGCTCGCATTCATTTAACGCAGGTGGTGTGGTAATATAAATGGATTTTTGTAACCCCACGGTCAAATAACGCCACAATTTACCGAAGCAATTCGGGAAATGTGTCCTTTCATTCAATTGCTTTCGTGAAAAATTTTAAAAAAAGAAAGTAAGACAAGACAATAATAATTTTAGATTCGGCCGAAGATTCAATTGAAGGAAAAGCTGGTTTACGACTGAGCCTGGACGTCAAGTTCAGGCATGTTTTATTCATTAGATGTTCAAAAAAATACCGCACTGGAAGGAATACTAAAATTGCTGGAAGGCTGCCCAACAATTTATGGTCTGTTTTGGCGGAGTAGAAACCATCTTGACTCCAGTACATGCTACGTCAGTTTTAAAGCATATCGTAAAACAGACTTTGAAGTAAGATATTTATAAGAAAACTACAAACTAAATTTTCTGATTTGATTACACAATGTACAACAAACGATAACAAATGCCACACCGTATTTATTATTAATTCGTATCACTTCCTAGTATTTGTCTAATATAATACTCTTAAATATAGAAGTGCATCATCTTTATTTGTGATGGGATGAAGACGCGTCTCTCTTTAAAAAAGCAAAAGAAAGAAAATTACGATGTAATAAAACCAAAATGACTCGATTATTATGGAAAAGTAAAGTTACCAAGACGATTAGAGAAAAAGCAGGAAATGAATAGTAGATAAAGTTCCTCGTTGATAAAATGACCGAATCAAGTGATGAATCAACTCATTTTTATGATACTGCCATACCATTCACCAACAGATGCTTCTTCACATTAGATTTTTCAGAGCGTTACTTGTTCAATGTCTTCATAGTTTCACGTATTTTATTACTTGTTAATTTGTAACTTTATCTGAAGTGAAAAAAGAATTGTGAGACAGCTCAAAATACGCCGTTATATGTATTCTGAATAAAGCCACTTTACACCGCATAACTCTTTTTCTTTTTATGAAAACAACTCATTCCGGTTTGCGGTGGAAAAAGAAGGGAAAAAAGTATCAAGATATGTATCTATGTACATATGTCTTTCACACAAGGCTTCAGGAACAATACGACAACTATGGAGCAAATGAAAACAAATGGTAACAACATCAAAAATCAATGATGAAATGTAAGAGGTCGGCGTTTTATGAATTTTTGTATGTAAACAATTTTTCAATTAACATTTATGATATCGTTACTAAAACTGTTCGGTGCTAATGAGAGAGCAGCAAAAATATGAAAATATTAAAACTGAATATTTTTTATTTACACATTTAATGCTTTTGTTGAATTGTTTCTTTTATGTATACAGGTAAGGCAAAATTGCACGTTTCTTTGTCGGCATCCCTTCTTTTTTTGGCGCACGAACGAATATGCATAATTTGGTGAAAGGGTAGAATGTATTTTTTAGCCACCCCTGCCCTGCTTCTCTGACAACTGTCCTCTCGAAATCTTTAGACTTAGCGTAACTCCCAAAAACAAAAATTAATTTACCTTTAATATTTATATAAAAAGGTAGCTGAAGATATTTGTACGAATTCCGTAAGTATTCATGTCGTATTTTTAAAAGATAATGATGCCCTTTGATTACTACACGTAACAGAATATCCCTGTGGCCTGTTCTCAATAAGCCACTAGCGAAAATATGAATAACAACATTTAATTAATTTTATAAATAGTAACAATTCAAAAATTTTAAATATTTTAACGCCTACTTTTAATATTGAAATTAAATGTCTTCAATTGATTCTATCGCGCACTTCCAACAAACCACCCTATACAATACATAAATTGATTGTTTCAAAAAACTTATTAAGACATTTTTCTTGGTTAACGCGTTACCTAATAAATTGTGGCATTCGTAGAAAAAGTTCTTTAGCGGCTAACAGTATAAGACGTACCTGGCCAGATTATTTTACTTTCATAATAACTTCATTAAGAATGTACATAATGTGTGGACCTGCTTAAAAGCATTCCGCTTTTTATTCAGCTACGTGAACAGTAAGTGCCTACATAGATGTCCACCACACAAAGGTTTATCGCTTAGTTACGGATATTATTATGGAATTCACCGAATTGGTGATTCATGCCATAAAACAATCTACCTCTATATAAAAGAACATTTTTATATACGATAATTCGAAAACTGAAAATAAGAAAATGTGCCGTTAGAGTCCAGTCAAATAAGGGAAATGGTTGAAAAGTACCTTATAATGGAGAAAATGATTGAAATACAGGTCATTTTATCGGAAATTTCGTGAGGAACACGAATATATATAAATGAAAATTATTTGCCCGGCATAAGACATCAAAATTTGCAACAGCCTAAACGTAACGTAAAAAGTAACGCATTTGGACAACTTGTAACGGAGTTATAGCGGTTTAAACATTTAATTGTTTAAAATAACAATGAAATAATAGATAAAAAAATCTCTAAAAAGATAGTTTAACCGATTAAGATAAGTTACGAATCGATTAAATTATTAATTTTAAATTTTTAATAATTATTTTGAATCTTTTAAAAATTTCCGTCAATTTTGAGGCCTGCTTACCATTGGGCGCACAGAACTTTTCTTCTATGAGTCATGAATACTTTTTTTTCTAAAATGGCATTGTGAAAAACTTTTATTGAAACTTTTTTCCGTATCTTTCATATTTCGCGAGATAATCGATTTTGTAATTGTTTTTGTGGATTTTCTCCCCCCTATGCCAGGCAAATAATTTTCATTTACATTTTCGTGTTCCTCGCGAAATTTCCGATAAAATGACCTGTATTTCAATAATTTTCTCCATTATAAGGTACTCTTCAGTCACTTCCCTCATTTGACTGGACTATTACTGATAATTCTCACAAAAACGGTATCTTCTTTTTAGGGGAAATCTCTAAATTCAAAAAATATTTCAACACATAATTAGGGTCAAACAATAGCAGTTTACATTTTCTTTTATTTTCCAATCTCAGAGATTCTACTTTTGATATAATATTTACAAAACACCATAGTTATAAAACGGAAATATTTCTTGGAAAATTTTTGGTTTCGATTAAATCAAAAAGTATATTTAAACTTGCTAACTGCTAAACTTACAAAGTGTAAAGTTTTTCTTGTTGTTGTTAATTTCGTGAAATATTTTCAAAAAGTGGACAGTCTCAATAATCCTGAACAGTGTAATTGTATCGATTAGTTTGGAAGTCCATACGATTACGTCATCGTCGAAGTATTATAAATGGATTGCGCTTTCATCGTGAGATGTATTCAAGTGGAAAAGCAGATCTCGGCAGTCGCCCCTCAAGGAAGATTTCCTGATAACCGAGCCCCATTAGGATCATATGCAACTAAGTGTCGAGCAAACTGTTATCAATTTACAGATGATAATCATTACGACCGCGACCCACTAACTAAATTTATACCAGCAAAAAAATAAACCGAACATTACCTCCCTCCTTAGGTATTCGTAGAACTGAATAAATTGATTCACAACTCGTGTCTTTTCACACAATTAGCTTCAGCAGCTATCATTATACCCTTCTCACTCACCCACCTTTGTTTTAGAAGCCCTTAACGATGTTTATAAACGTAATGAGTTAACGATTAAAACGTGCTACCGCGTAGGAATTTTGCCGAAGCTTTAGCCAAAGCTCATTAACTCTATCTCCCTGATCCTTCTATCTCTTTCTTTGTATGTAGTTGTCGCCCTATGTTCCACTAATTCACCTAGAACCTAATCGTAGTTTTTTTCCTTTTGACGCAGTGGCGTTTCAAACGGGGAAAAGCATATGTAATACTGCAGTGAACATTTCAAGTTACAAATGTAGACAGTCGACATTAAACGGCTGGATATCAACCTTCTTTAGGAATCGCGGGAATGTGTAGGTAGTGGTTGAAATGAGAAAATTGAGACGTACGAAATGAAGATAGAAGACAGTGAAAGACCATCTATTACTGCCCCAGCATTTGCTTTTGATTTTTTGATAAGTTTAATTGCCTTCTATAAAAACATTACCAAATTCTCAAAAGCAAATTACAAAAAATACAGTATTGTTGAATGATATTGACGTATGCCAGAAAATTCCATTCATCTGAACCAATAAGTCATGATATAAACGCACTGCAGTTTACCTGGCACTGGGTTTAGGTTTCTTGATGAGCCGCTACAATTTAAACTCTCATCCGGTGTGTTTTGTGGTAGGTACTTTTTCGGATTGAAAATCATAATTTCGAGCGTTTTGTAACGCCACTGGCGGTCTCATCAGGGGTCGAGTCTGGCGGTAATTCCGTCGGTAACAAGATAACGGCGGCCCTCTCCGCAAGCAATGCATCGTAAACAGTCGCGATAGGTGGCATGTGTGATTATTTTAATTCCTAATCTGCATGCAACGCTAATTGTTTTCCTACATGCACGCGGTTGACCCCTCCCCTTCCTGCTAACAACAGCGCTGTCACGGTCCCGTGTAACATTAGCTATGCGCATTAAGAATGCCATCAGAGAAAAGACCTTTTGTCCACCGAGGTAGGAAGCAAACAGAGCTAATAAGAAATTAAAATACTACCGACCTACTGCTTGGTTACTACACAGAACATAGTTGTTATAACCGAACAAAACATGCATAGGTTTGATCTAGTCTGACCCCTTATTCTTTATTTCTTACCTATACGTTCTTGTTCGGTAACAACGTAGTTACGGCCCCGTTGTCATAAAGCTGTTTCGAAACAAACAATAGAATTCATCGCAGTAGTTTACTTTTCTTATTCGAATGACAAAACGAATTTATGTTTTCCGATTCTCGGCCAACTGTCTAGATACTTGTATATCTATATGTAACTACAAACGAAAATGATGCATTCATTTATCGTAAAATAACTAGGAAAAAATACAACTTTGGAAGATTTTCATAAACTATTATTGACTTGTAACGTTGCAATGTACTTACGTTTCGCTAAATGCTGGTTTATTAAGATAACGGAAGGGAGACCGAATTCATTGAAAATAGGATACAATTTTCTTTAATCACTATTCATTCCTGTATTTATTTTCCTTATGGAAATCTAAAATGTCCAATAAGCCACCAAATATCAATCTTATGCAATTTGCAATAAAAAAAAAAGAAATTTTGAATTACCCTAATAAATATTTAAAATTTGTATGTAAATTAAATAATCGAGGGAAGTATCTAATTGTAAGTAAAACATTAAAGAAAAAGTAAAGTTCACACAAAGGCAGTGAAACCATTAAATGGCAATTTTCGTAAACAATCGTTTTGTGTTGACTGAGATTAAAAGGTACATTTTCTTTGGCAAAAGCTTTTATGAACTGTGGATGATTAAAGTAGTGTAAAATAGGTTGTGTTTGGCGTTTGCATGGAAATTGTTAACGAAACAAGAACGTGCTGTGTTA